ATTGCAGCGGACAGTCCGGACTGCTGAGTGAATCCCTGGTACAACACCCCCCACTCACCAACAACTGCACTCATCCAGAACGAGTAAAAGAGCTGGCAAAATCATTCTGGACCCCTCACACCCAGCCCACTTCCTCTTTAAACTGTTGCCGTCTGGTTGGCACAACAGAGCACTGAGCACCAGAATGGCAAAGCATTAGAACATTAGTTTCTCTCCTCAGGCAATCCGTCTCATGAACAGCTGACCTGACAATAAACATGTAATACACAACACTATTTATACATTTATTTATTTAACACACATACCTCGTTTTACATTTCCTTGCATTTGTACATATTACACCTGTACACACAAATACCATTTTATTCATTATATATATATATATTAATATTCCAAAGAACTTCTTTTCCAGTTATATGTATGTCTAAAAAAATCATTGACTAGAATTAGGAAATATATTCTTTGTTTAATGACTGAAAACTTCCAATATATTTTAAATATGCCTTTTTAAATAGAACACACAGTGTGATAGAACTCAGTTGAACTGTTAGACATTAACTCTTTGTTTTCTTTTTATGATAAGTGACTCAATAAATACTTTACTTTAAATGTGAAAGTAACAGGTTAAAAAAAATACAAAGGTCACATTAGAACAAAATTCCTCACGCTATGCTAGAAAATATACCATTTTTGTGTCTGTACGTCATAAATCACATCTACACAGCGGCACAGACGTAAAGATAAGTTCTCAGATTGCTGTAAAAGGACTTTGTGTACGTGTGGTACATGATCTGCTTGAGAATTAGCTTCAGGCTGTCATGTGATCTGTAGTAAACACAGCGTTCCTCTGATTTAGGAAGTCACACAATACCTTGTAGCAACAGCACACCAACAATTGTCCCAAATGGTGGCATGGTGCCCTGGCGCTCAGATTTGGCTGAAGAGTTTCTGTCACCCCCTAAACAAAGCAAGAAAGTGTTGGAGAGCATTCACATACAGAGCACCAGTCACCACACAGCGCATTTTGTACTTTTATCTCATTGGATAAGGAGGCTTAATTCAGAACAGACTGATACTTCTTTGAACAACAAGAAGGTTTTGTGGCTTAAACATGAAGAACCTGCTTGCATGTCCTTAACAACAACATTAACACATTATAAACTAAACAGTCAGTCCATGATACATTTTTTGAAGACAGATGGCAGCAGATGCATGCAGAGGATCAGATAGTTCAGAGAATTTTGTTTACAACAGAGAATAGTTCATCAGTAGTGTTGTGTAGATGGACTGTGAAGAAGCATTTCCTGAAGTTCCTTTTCTAGAAGCTGAGAGAAAAACAAGAACTTAAACTGAAATGAGATCAGCGGGATGACTTCAGAGGTCATAGATGCTATATTAGTATTTTATATGTTTTATAAATTATACTCTCTATCTGTGTGTATTCACACACACATACTTGTAATGTGGTTTGGGCATAGTTATTTTTATACCAAGCTAATCATATTTTCTATCCCTTAACCCGACCCCTAAACATAACCATCACAGAAAACCTCAGGCATTTTTTGAATGTCAAAACACACAGTTTAGTAAGTTTTGGAAGCCATTTGGGTTACAAGGACACAAGAAATGTCCTCATAAACCATGTTTACATTGTAATACCCATGTCATTATACACATTTGTGTCCTCAAAAACCATGCAGGCCTTATACTAAATTCAAATTTTATGAAATTATTATTTTATGTCATCTAATATACTGAATGGTATATATATTTTTGTATTTATTTATTTATCTATTTATTTAATAATATATGCATTATTATATTTATATATAATATTTAAGATTCATAATAGTTCCCCAAAAATTCCTGGAGATCAGGTCGAGAGGGATATATAGGCTATATACAAATATAAATGTAAAGAATAATAAATATAAATAATAAATAGTATTTTATATTATATAAATAGTAAATTATTTAAAAATATTAATATTAGATTGAGTATATAATCTATACTATTGCTATATCATGTAATGTAGCACAGCTGCAATATTGGGTAACACAAATTCACTATTAACTAAGAGTTTTCCCTGAACAAACTCCTAATTTGCTGCGTATTATTAATAGTTAGATAGTTGTAAAGTTTAGGTGTGGGGTAGGATTAAGGCATCTAAAATATGGTCATGCAGAATAAGGCATTAATATGAACTCTTATATATGACCCTGGACCACAAAACCAGTCATAAGGGTCAATTTTTTTTAATTGAGATTATACGTCATCTGAAAGCTAAATAAATAATCTTTCCATTGATGTATGGTTTGTTAGGATAGGAAAATATTTGGAAATCTGGACTCTGAGGGTGCAAAAAAAATCAAAATATTGAGAAAATCGCCTTTAATTTGTCCAAATGACGTCCTTAGTAATGCATATTACTATTGATAATATTTTTTTTTTTACATATTTACAGTAGGAAATTTACAAAATATCTTCATGGAACATGATCTTTACTTAATATCCTAATGGTTTTTGGCATAAAAGAAAAATCTATAATTTTGACCCATATGATGTATTTTTGGCTATTGCTACAAATATACCCGTGTTACTTATGACTGGTTTTATGGTCCAGGGTCACATATGTGCTTTGTAAATACTAATAAACCGCCAACATGTTAGTAATATGTATGCTAATAAGCAACCAGTTAATAGTGAGAACCGGTCCTTGAAATAAAGTGTTATCCAATGTTGCATTGATTAATCATCATCCAGGACCCGAAATGATCATTCTGCACATTAGATGAGACATGGCCAAAAGTATGCGGACGCCCAAACACAATACTGGTCATTTCATAACCATGAATAGTAATCTGTCCCTTTGCTGCCATAGCTTCTACTCTTTTACTAAAGGTTTTCCTCTGGATGCTGGAACATTACACGCAGGAGCACTGTTATGCTGGAGCGGAAAATGAAATGGCCCTCTGAAACTGTTGCTACCAAGCTGGAGCAAAACTGAAATAAAAAATGTGAGAAAGCAAAGAAAAAATGCACAAAACTTTTCTGACTGCAAAAGAACTGACGCTCATGAGTCTGCTTTGCAGTTTGGCAGTGTATGGAGGCTTTAATCACAGACAGTGAATGCAGCTCCTGTTCTGTCACAGTGTGTCAAAGCATGAATATCTAATTGTTCAGCGCAGTGCGTGTGGAAAGATCCCAACAATGTTCTCAACCAGCTCTACAAACGCTCTAGAGAAAGCAGTTGAGATAAGGTCCCTAGTCGTGACTGCCAGGGAATATCTGCTTAAAGGTGGGGTAAGCGATTTTTCAAAAATGCTTTAGAAAACTGATTCGGGCCGAATAGCAAAACAAACTTGTAGCCAATCAGCAGTAAGGGGCGTGTCTACTCATGATGTGGAGGAGAGAGCGCTCAGTGCACAGGACAGACATTAGTGAGCCGAGCGACAAAAAGATAGAGATGGTGGATAAAAAACAAAAGAGGAAAAGATCTGCGGAACAAAACAAGGCTTACGATAATGCAAGAATTAGGACCCATGTAAATATTGGATCAGCTTTCCAGCGCTGGAGAGAACTCAAGGAGCGGAAGGCCTGCGATCGGACGCCGAGGTTGCTTTGTTTCTTCTCGATAGGTGAGTAACACCGTGTCTGCGCCGCAACAGCTAAAGTCTGTCTAGTACACTGGACGCGTCAAGGCGACCATTGAAAATCATTTGAAATTTGTGTCAATATGTCATAAATAGAACGCAGCAGCAGTTTTCGGTCGGGGATTTGTCGTGTCGTGCTGCGCCGCATCCAGTGTAGACCATAGATAAATATATATATCTATGGTGTAGTCAACATCACTGATTATAATGAGTTCTATAATATTTTGTCGCGCCGCACCGCTCGCGTCCGGTGTAGACACGGTGTAACATTGGTTTTGCTTTGGCGGAGTTATCAAAATAGGGGCGAGACCCTTTTGTGGTAGGGGCGTGTTTGTTTTAGTGATTTCAAATGTCAACATTGGCGACCAGAAATTGCTTACTCCACCTTTAATGTTGCCATCTGCAAACCATTGAGAGACAGGAGACATCAAACTACGAGTGCTGGTGACGTAAAGACAAGTGATTATTGACCAGTTTAAAAGCTCAGAACAGTTTAAAATGAACATCAACAGCATATTAATAGATTTTCTAATCTCATGCTTGCAACTCTGTGAGCACCAGAAGAACTAACAACACAAGCAAACATATACAGCATGGCCAGAAGCCAACTACTCAAAAATGAATGCCTGTATGCCTCTGACATTGTTAAAAGAGTCAAATAGGTTTAAAAATCAACCTGACGGGTCCACAGAGATCATTTTTGATCTGTGAAAATTCCAGAGTGCTTAAGGTTATATGGATATACTTTCAGCGGCTTTTACAAATGCATGGCTCATCTTTGATGTGGGAGGCTGCAGCTCTTGGTCCTTTCAAGTCAGCGGGGTGTTAGCGGCCCCTGCCATGACCCCGACCGCGCTGAGATTCAAACTGCCCTGAAAGCGCTAGTAAAAACACATTTGTGAGACTGCAGTGAGGGTCAGCTGCCTCATTTTTTTATTTATTTCCCCTATCTTCACATTCGATTACCTATGCTATAATCACTAATCTTTAAAAAATGTATTACTTTGCAAATCTCAAAGTTAATATCCATTTTCACGCTGTACTTTATAATGTTTAAGACAAAATAGTATCATAATTATTGGCTTATCGTATCGGCCAGAATTGTAAAAACTGTATTGGTCTTACTGTACTTTTTTTTTTTTTTTTATAAAGTTAATCACTTGTTTATATTGGGCCATGTCTTTACACCATGACAACCATTATTATATTTCATAACATTTATATTGTATCACTGACCATAGCCTTAAAAGAACTGAAGCACTAGCGCCATCTGCTGGAATTGTGTTGCTACTCCACTATACATTTTTTAAATGACACAAAGTGTGACCAGCATTTGCATACATTTTTTATTTATTTTCCAAACAAAGAATGCTGTATACATTTTTTTTTCTTCCAAACAACAACATGAACTCAAACGTATGCCAAGGAAGTCAAACTAAAATTACTTCATGCTCTAAAAAAAGTTTTCCTCGTCTTAGATGAACCGTCTATGAAACTATTAAAAACTGGGTCCCAAATGTACAACTGCCAACTTACGTTTTTATGAAACGGTACTGTAATAACTGTAACAATGTTGTCAATATACATTTTTCCAGGTAATTATTTTATAAAGTGATGTAGGTATGTACAATCTCCGAAACATCTGACGACCAACATAGTAGTACAGACTAGTAACATGACAGTGTCATGTGAACTAAGCCATCACATTGTACTGGTACATTGTACTGGCAAGATGCAGTCATGTTAGTGAACAAATGTTACTGCTACAGGAGTGGTGTGTCTGAAAATGCACTTAATTTCTTACAGCTAACTGATGCATTGCTGCAGTGTGAACTGTCCCCATTGTCCTCTGCCCCGCTGCCATTTTCAATCTGGTGCTTCTTCCCCCGCTGCAGTCTACAGAGCCCACGGTGGTGGAACACAGTAAGAGCAGATGATGAAGAAAAAAACCCCCAGCAAAATTAACATTCCGTCCACAAAAAGTGACAGAAATGACAAAAGAAAGAGTAAAAGAGTAAAAACCTAGCGTTCAAAATCCTGTCAAGTTACAACTGATTTCAGCACATGACAGCCATAGATAAGAGATATAATAACACTAAACATGAATAAACGTAAATACAAGAAAACATTTTCCACATGGATTTATATCAGACATCTAACCTGTTCATGGCCTGAATTTTTAGGCCCTCCTCAATACTGTGGCTGAGCGCCTGCTGGTTGTTGTGCTTGCTGATGCGGGCCAACACTCTCTCCTGATGGGCTTCATACTCATCTCTGCTGGGGTAGATCTTACTGATCAGGGCGTCAAAGTTGGGGTCTGGACGGAGGGAGCGCTTAGACACCAGCTTCTTCCTGCATGTTGGACACTCCTTATTCCTGTGAAGATACAGTCAAAAAAGTAATGAAACAGAAATTGTGAGCATCTTTTCTTCTCTATTGTGACATATATGTGGGTGAAAAGGCTTCTCGAATGAGAAAAAAAATTAAAGATTTAAAGGGTTAGTTCACCCAAAAATGAAAATTAGGCCGTGTTTTACTCACCCCAGAGGCATCCTAGGTGTATATGACTTTCTTCTTTCAGACGGAGTTATATTAAAAAATTTCCTGGCTATTCCAAGCTCTATCATTGCAGTCAGCAGGTGTTGCAGTGCTTCAGTCCAAAAGAAGTGAAATAAAAAGCACCCATCCATAAAAACAAAAAAATAAAAGTGTCTCACACGGCTCCGGGGGGTGAACAAAGGCCTTCTGTAGCGAATCGATGCGTTTTTGTAAGACACATATCCATATTCAAAACGTAATAATCACTTTAATGTAGCTTGCGCCAGCAGTCCTACACGGAAGCAGCTCCGGGCTGATGTCGTATGAGGTCAGCGTTGCGCATGCGCCGGTGAGTCTCATGAAAACCAACATTTGTTAACAAGAGCAAAGGAAGCAAAGTTTCCTTACTTTAGCAAAGGAAAACCAGTCTCCTCTTGGCTTATATCGAAATCCTCTGACATTCTTCTTTACAAATCCTCGTTTTGTACTTCTAATTCTTGACCGTTGTTTTGTTTTGATCTCTCCCCTGCGCTTCCGTGTTCGTCACTTCTGAGCGGCGCATGCGCAGTGCTGACCTCATACGTTATCAGCCCGGAACTGCTTCCATGTACAACAGTGAGCGCAAGCTAGATTAAAGTGATTATTACGTTTTGAATATGGATATTTTTCTTACAAAAACGCATCGATTCGCTACAGGAGGACTTTGTTCACCCCCCAGAGCCGTGTGAGACACTTTTCTTTTTAATGGATGGGTGCTTTTTATTTCACTTCTTTTGGACTGAAGCACTGCAACACCCGCTGACTGCAATGATAGTGCTTGGAATACCCAGGACAATTTTTAATATAACTCCGACTGGATTCGTCTGAAAGAAGAAAGTCATATACACCTAGGATGCCTCGGGGGTGAGTAAAACACAGCCTAATTTTCATTTTTGGGTGAACTAACCCTTTAAGGATCAAAGATTAAAGGACACTTAAAAAAAATGATGTGAACAAATAAATAACATATAATATACACTGCAATATTCCATAAAATATAAGAATTTCCAATTTTGATTTGGTCTTTATTTCATATCTTAATACAATCATATTACACATGGGGGGAAAAAAAATCCAGTGATACTATCTTGTATTCTTTCACATCACAAAGAAAATGTGCAGTATCACATAAATCTGAATACATAAATCCTACATATTACACAAACCCACCCCGATCTGAGCGCAGTGATGATGCAGTCGGCACAGAAGCGGTGCAGGCACTCCTTGGTGGTCATGGTGTTCTTCAGCATGTCCAGGCAAATAGGACACATGAGCTCACTGTGCAAGCTGCGTGGGGACACTGCGATCTCCAGACCATCCGTGATGGCCTCCTATGGGATCACAACACCACAGAAGCTGCATTGAGGGTCTGACACTAAACCACATATCCAAGAACCAGCTCTCGACAGGGTTTCACTAAGATACAGTCAGAATGGCACTTGAAAAATCTGAACGTACCAACTGTGGACAATAACTGGTAAATTAATTTTCTTACCTGTGAGGTTCTCTGTAATTCATAGAGACTAAGCTCCCAGGTCTTACTGAGGGGTTGAATCCCATTCGTCTGGACCATTTGTGTCATCTTTATACACGGCGTGTCCTTCACCTCTGTGAAAAACAGCCAAAGTGAACAGTATTGACATGATGTGCAGAAACGAATATCAAAATCTACTATATTAGAGTTTTGGTGAGATACTAACTCAAAACAAAACGATTCTTGTGTGTTAAATGTCAAAATTCATACATCATTAAATATTATCTAGTTAGAATTTACACAAAACAATTTTCAAATAGCATTGTTTTGGACAAGGACAGCATCAACTGACATCTGAGGGATGTTATGGTCTGTTGCCGTTGGTTTAAACTGAAAGATGCCACTTCATTTAGTCAATTTAGCCTCTATCCATGTTTACTTTAGTCATAAACTTTGCATTTTTGTTTTGTTTATTTTTATTACATGCTATAATAAACGACGAATCTGTCTAACAACGCAGAGCTAGCAGACTAAAATGAGCTCCTGAAGGCACTTCTAACTCTTTGTGTCAATGAATACACAAAGCATCTGCCTACACGTACAAAGCGTCTACTGCATGACAGTGCCTGCTCTCCAGCAACGGACAGTTATTAAAGACCCCAAAACAAAATAAACGGGAGAGGAAAAACCAGGCGAAAAGGTTTTATCTCCTGCGCTGTCATGAAAACGTAGAGCTAACGGCTAACTCTCTCTGCTAATCCAGATGCTGTATTTACAGGCTCCTTTAAATCAATTATGAAGACATTGTCGGCGAGCTTGTAACATATAATACCCTTTGCGCTAATGTAAACGTCAACCTCGACAACAACAAAGCATCTATTTCTGCAAAACGCAGCTGTTTACATACTTACATCTCAATGTTGTGAACACTCTCTCCCTGCCAGCGCGTTCTGCCGAGCTCAACATGGCGGATTCAGTGGGCCTAAATGAACTCTGGGAAATGTAGTATTATCTTTTCAGTTGTTAACGGTTGACACTTGTTAACACTTCAGTGTGCAAAAAGACATGTGGGGCATAGTTTTTTCTTTCTTTCAGTTCAGTTGCATAAACTACACGTCATGTTCAACTTTGTTACAAGTTAATATTTAAATATGATAATGTTGAAAGAAAATTGAAAAGACTACAGCCGTTGTAATTCTGTGTATGCTTGCTCTTTGATGGACTAGCCACCTGTCCAAAGTGTTTCCCCAAGATGAACGCACCACAGATGGTCTTATTAAAGTGGCTTGGACGGGCCGATAGCATTGTGTTGATGGTTTAACCTGATCATCCTAGAAAAAAACTTAAAGGGATAGTTCACCCAAAAATGAAAATTCTGTCATCATTTACTCACCCTCATGTCGTTCCAAACCTGTATGAGTTGCTTTCTTATGTTGAACATAAAATAAGATATTTTGAAGATTGCTGGTGATCAAACAGTTGGTGGTTGCCATTGACTTCCATAGTAGGGAAAAAAATACTATGGAAGTCAATGGCAACCACCAACTGTGACAGAATTTTTGGGTGAACTATCCATTTAAGGTTTATTTGACTAACGTTTAAGGTAGAACAAAATGGAAATCCATTTTCGCCACATAAAAGAAATAAAACAAACTAACAAACAAACACGTTTTGGTAAAAAAAAATATATTTTGACATAAAAAGTCAAACATATGAGATGCTAAATCAAAATTATGAGATATATCATAGGCTAATTAAAGCAGTTAAAAGTCAAAATTATGACAACAATTAAAATCTAAACCCATGTCAAAATTATGACATAAAATTAAATAAAGTTATGAAATAAAGAGTCTAAATTATGAGGTAGCATACTTATATGACATAAAAATTGAAATTATGACTAAACAGTTATATCGAAGTCAAAATATGAGGTACGCCATAATTATGGGATACAAATTCGAAATGTTATGTCATCATGATTTACCAAAACATTTTTTCTTATGTAGAGGAAAAGGGTTTCCAAACACAAAACTCCACGGAGATGAAATATTTTTTTTTAGCATTGAGAGTAACACAAAGTTTGCCACTAGGGTGGAGTAGAGTATAACATAAGCGTCACATCCCTTATAACTTTATTTATTTATTTATTTATATTATTAAACAGGATTCATTCTGAATAGCAACACACAAAATACATGTGTAAAACTTTGCGTCTTCTTTGTGCGCATCTTACTGTTCTTTTTTTTTTAAGTTATGAGTAACGTTAGGCTAACTCCAACCAGAGGACCACCCCACGTTTATTTTCTTCGTTTTGCACTTTGTAGACGATCCCTAGAATACTGATTAAAACAATGATAAACTACGTAAGTTCTGTTCTACATTCGAATACTTTTCAAATAAACTATTTTTATGCCATACCTTGGCAAACGGTTAATAGGCCTACTGTCTCTTAATATAAAGTTTTTCAAAATAACTTTTTTTCGCTGTAATAGTATATACAAAGAGGTGTAGGCTATATCGCAAATATCCGTAAATACATTAATAAAGTAACAAGGCAGTCTAACGTCAAAACATTGCTCTATAAAAATGGCCAAAGCTGCATGTTGACAGATGTTGACAGAGCTGAGAGGATACGCGGGCGGCGCTGTAGTTTGAGGAAGTTTGAGATGCTTGAGTCACAGTTTATTTGCGCTCATCATTATCTGACAGACAAAATAGCCGCTGCGCTTCAAACCCGAATCGGACAAACGCAAGTTTTTCAAAATAACTTTTTTTCGCTGTAATAGTATATACAAAGAGGTGTAGGCTATATCGCAAATATCCGTAAATACATTAATAAAGTAACAAGGCAGTCTAACGTCAAAACATTGCTCTATAAAAATGGCCAAAGCTGCCTGTTGACAGATGTTGACAGAGCTGAGAGGATACGCGGGCGGCGCTGTAGTTTGAGGAAGTTTGAGATGCTTGAGTCACAGTTTATTTGCGCTCATCATTATCTGACAGACAAAATAGCCGCTGCGCTTCAAACCCGAATCGGACAAACGGGAAAAAGCCTCCGCTCGGGACCGCTAACAAACCACGCTGCACAATGGGAGCATCCTCATCCAGTCTGTTGGACGAGAGTAAAATAAACTACATACGAGGTAAACGGGCTTCCATCTAATACTATAAAGTCTGTGGAACTAACGATTGCATCTTATGTCTAGTGCTGAGACTAATAAGTTGAGTATAGCCTAATTAAATGAGACTTTCTCTCCCTTCTTTTTTCCTTTTCCCCAACTTTCTTGCATTATTTTTTGAAGTCAAATTCAGCGTCTAACCACTAAATTATTATGTCAGTATATGTTATTGCAGGCAATTGAATTCCAAGAATAACCTTAACTAATAATAACTTTAATAAACACATCAAACATGCGTTTGAGAACTACTGCAGTGCAGGAAATGTCATCAGTTTATGTTATACAGTTTGATGCAGAGTGCACACCCACCCAAACCTACCACACGCCCACCACACCTTTAACCCCACTTATGATCAGTCAACCCGCAGCTGATCGTCATGCAATAGCTGTTTAATATTTCCATGTTGTTTACATAGTCACTCTGCTGTGCGTTTACATAAATAAATGGGGCAGTTGTGGCCTAATGGTTAGAGAGTCAGACATGTAACTCAAAGGTTGGGGTTCGAGTCTCCGTACTGGCAGGGATTGTAGGTGGGGGGAGTGAATGTACAGCGCTCTCTTCAACCTTCAATACCATGACTGAGGTGAGACCCTTGAGCAAGGCACTGAACCCCCAACTGCTCCCCGGGTGTCCCAACAAAAAAAATGGATGCCCACTGCTCCCGGAGGTGTGTGTGTGTATGTTCGCTACCCACTGCTGTATGTGTGCACTTGGATGGGTTAAATGCAGAGCACTTATTCTGAGCATGGGACACCATACTTGGCTACACATCACATCAAGTACTGAATAATGAACCATGTACTTTATTATCATTTTGTCAACCTTGTTGTAATGATACAGGTTAAATAAAACAATAGTTTCCAAAAATGGAAATTTCCTGAAAGTTTATGTAGGCCATCCAAGATGTAGAGAGGAAAGCGGAATCTGTTTACCTGTAGGTCCTCTGAAGTGAATGGGTGCCGTCAGAATGAGAGTCCAAACAGCTGATAAAACCATGTCTACAAATGTTCAACGTCTTGTGAGGAGAAAAGCTGTAACACACAAATCCATCATTAACATCATTAATGTTTTTAACAACAAAATGTTGCATCTGGCTAAAATACGAGTCCTCTAAGCATAATATTGCATTCTCAAGTGAAAAAGTTGCCTTGTCTGAAAAAAGTTGTCTTGGATCAGGAAAGAAATATACACAGATCAAGCACTATATACAAGCGAAAACAGTCCAAAATAGTACTAAACATATATGTTGGTGGATGGACTCATATTATGGACTCGTATTTTGGCCAGAAGCAATGGTTTCCAGTTAAAACGCCTTAATGATAGATTTATTTCTTATAAAAAAAGAAAAGATTTTCACTTCACAAAACGTTATTTGATGGACTGGGGTTGTGTGCATTACTTGTGGATAATTGTGGTGTTTTTATCAGCTGTTTGAACTCTCATTCTGACGGCACCCATTCACTGCAGAGGATCCATTGGTGAGCAAGTGATGTTATGCAAAATATCTTCATATCTTTTCCGATGAAGAAAATAAACTAATCCACATCTTGGTTAGCCTGAAGGTGAGTAAATTTGAGCAAATTTTCATTTTTGGCTGAACTGATCCGTTAATATTTAAGAAATATCACATAAGCAACAGTTGTATTAAATATCAGCACATTTTTTTATTTAGCCCTAAGTGCAAATTTAGTAACTTAGGGCCCCCTTTATATATAAGTGTCAGGAACTACTATGGCATGACATACAATGCATTTATTGTGAACATACATGTTTTTACATTGTACTTACATTTAAAAATACCTGCATGTTATTACATCTCTGTAATCACATCTACACTCTAAAAAATGCTGGGTTAAATATAACCCAGTGCTGGGTTAAAAAGGGACAAACCCAGCTATTGGGTTGTTTTGACCCAGCGGTTGGAATGTTTTGAACCCGATGTTTATATTTAACCCAGCATTTTTTAGAGTGTATAATTACACTGTTGACCCTACCTTAACTCACTATTAAACCTAACCATACCATGAATCCTCTCCCTAATCTTACCTGTATCCCACCTGAAAAGCAATATACTGTAGCATAAACATAATAAACACATTGTACCTATAACACTTATTTAAGTATGGTAGTTAAAGAAAGTTAATATAAAGTGGGACCTTCTAATGTGTATGACATGGAGACTGTAATGTAAGTATTACCACAATTTCCTTTTTTTTCATATTCATATTCAGGTATGCATTCCACTGCTCCTTTGCAGCACTCTCAGAATCACTGATATACTACCTTTGTGAATGCACTGAAGTGTGTATGTGATTTCACTGGAATGTCACACATTCTGAGCGCATATACTGCAGAGAATGGGTTTCCTTCCCCTGATGGGGAGCACAGCTGTTCCTGCATAATGGGGATTGTTTTGCTCTTATTTCATCTGGCCAGCAGTGAACAGGAAGTATTGGACCAGAGTGGAAACCCATTCCAACATTCACTTCTCTCTATTGTTCAGTCTTTTCAGCTGAATATTTACCCCCATTTTTTTGCTGACTTAAAGTAATATGAATGCTGGTAAAAAGGCTGCATTGCCTAAATTCTGCATAAGTTAAAGTACTTTGCATGGGAGCTTTGGTTTATAAGTTTAAAAGTGCATTTCATGGGGAGTGTAATTTAATAAATTGCACATAGTAGTTATAGGAATTATAATGTCCCCAGTTGCAGTGATACTAAGGACGCCTAATACAAGTGGACAAATAAATGTATTATATTATGATCAAAGGAGAATGACACACTAATTATAATACCTGCCATTGTGACATCACATTCGTGTGGTTCAGCTAGTAAACTATTAGCAGAATAAGAGTCTGGGTTATAAACTGAAACAGAAAGGGCTTCAGTCTTGGAGTGAATACCGCCCTTGTACCGCCTAGTTATTTGCCACGTCCTCTTGGCCTTTTTTTTTTTTGGGCCCTGGCATGTATTTGCC